CTCTTCCCACTACTTTACCTTGCTATCCATACTTTCTGGCTGGTGCTCCAGCAGCTATCTTAGACCATGAGGCAGCCTTGAGGAAGAAAACTGCATAATGCAGATGGTGGAGGAGAAAGATAGGAGTCTTGGCTCATGACAAGACCATGAAGCCGCTATAACACACTTAGACAGCTCCCTCTAAATATTATATAATGGAGAAATAAATCTTAATCTTGTGTAAGTCACTATCATTTATTGTTTCTTTTTTCTGTTAAGCCAAATCTAATTCTAACTGATACGGTTCACACATTTCATAATCCTAGGTTGTTGTAAGTAGGGTGAAGAGAAGGAAAAAAAAGATATAGAATTCTTTCTCTTCTAACACTAGAGCAGCAAAACATACCTAATCATAATTTTCATTCCCAAACATTCTCTGGTAATTTTCAACTTTATGAAAGAAAAAGCAGGGAAAGGAAAAGGAATAAAAAATGTAAAACCCATTGATTTTGTATCCTGAAACTTTGCTGAAGTTGCTTATCAGCTTAAGATTTTGGGCTGAGACAATGGGGTTTTCTAAATATACAATCATGTCATCTGCAAACAGAGACAATTTGACTTCTTCTTTTCCTATTTAAATATTCTTTATTTCCTTCTCTTGCCTCACTGCCCTCGCCAGAACTTTCAATATTATATTGATTAGGAGTGGTTAGAGAGGGCATCCTTGTCTCGTGCTGGTTTTCAAAGGAAATACTTCTAGCTTTTGCCCATTTGGTATGATACTGGCTGTGGCTTTGTCATAAATAGTTCTCATTATTTTGAGATATGTTCCATTAATACCTAGTTTATTGAGAGTTTTTAGCATGAAGAGGTGTTGAATTTTATTGAAGGCCTTTTCTGCATCTATTGAGATAATCACAAAATCAATGTGCAAAAATCACAAACATTCCTATACACTAATAATACACAAACAGACAGCCAAATGATGAGTGAATCCCCATTCACAATTGCTAAAAAGAGAATAAAATACCTAGGAATACAAGTTACAAGGGATGTGAAGGACCTCTTCAAGGAGAATTACAAACCACTACTTAAGGAAATAAGAGAGGACAAAAACAAATGGAAGAATACTCCATGCTTATGGATAGAAAGAATCAATATCATGAAAATGGCCATATTGCTTAAAGTAATTTATAGATTCAATGCTATCCCCATTGAGCTGACATTGACTTTCTTCACAGAATTAGAAAAAACTACTTTAAACTTCATATGGAACCAAAAGAGCACGTATAGCCAAGACAATCCTAAGCAAAAAGAACAAAGCTGGAGGAATCACACTACCTGACTTCAAACTATTGCAAGACTACAATGACCAAAACAGCATGCTTCTGGTACCAAAACAGATATGTAGATCAATGGAACAGAACAGAGACCTCAGAAATAATGCCACACATCTACAACCATCTGATCTTTGACAAATCTGACAAAAACAAGCAATGGGGAAAGGATTCCCTATTAATGTGTTTGGGAAAACTGGCTAGCCATATGCAGAAAGCTGAAACTGGATCGCTTCCTTACACCTTACACAAAAATTAACTCAAGATGGATTAAAGATTTAAACATAAGACCTAAAGCCATAAAAACCCTAGAAGAAAACCTAGGCAATACCTATTCAGGACATAGGCATGGGCAAAGACTTCATGACTAAAACACCAAAAGCAATAGCAACAAAAGCCAAAATTGACAAATGAAATCTATTAAACTAAAGAGCTTCTGCACAGCAAAAGAAATTATCATTAGAGTGAACAGGCAACCTACAGAATGGGAGAAAATTTTTGCGGTCATCCATTTGACAAAGGGCTAATATCCAGAATCTACAAGGATCTTAAAAAAATTTAAAAGAAAAAAAAAATCCCATCAAAAAGTGGACAAAGGATATGAACAGACACTTACCAAAAGAAGACATTTATATGGCCAACAAACACATGAGAAAAAGCTCATAATTATTGTCATGAAAGAAATGCTAATCAAAACCACAATGAGATGCCATCTCACATCAGTTAGAATGGTGATCATTAAGGAAGCAGGTCGGGCATGGTGACTCATGCCTGTAATCCTTGCACTTTGGGAAGCCAAGGCAGTGGATCACTTGAGGTCAGGAGGTCGAGACCAACCTGGCCAAAATTATGAAACCTAATATTTACTAAAAATATAAAAAATTAGCTGATCATTGTGGTACATGTCTGTAATCCCAGATACTCCAGAGGCAGAGGCAGGAGAATCACTTGAACCCAGCAGGTGGAGGTTGCAGTTACCTGAGATTATACCACTGCACTCTAGCCTGGGCAACAAGAGCAAAACTCCATCTCAAAAAAAAAAAAAAGTCAGGAATCAAACAGATGCTGGCGAGGATGTGGAGAAATAGAAACACTTTTACACTGGTGGGAATGTAAACTAGTTCAACCATTGTGGAAGACAGTATGGCAATTCCTTAAGGATCTAGAACTAGAAATACCATTTGACTCAGCAATCCCATTACTGGGTGTACACCCAAATGTTTATAAATCATTCTACTATAAAGACACATGCACACATGTGTTTATTGTGGCACTGTTCACAATAGGAAAGACTTGGAACCAACCCAAATGCCCATCAATGATACACTGGATAAAGAAAATGTGGCACATATATACTATGGAATATTATGCAGCCATAAAAAAGGAGGAGTTCACATCCTTTGCAGGGATGTGGATGAAGCTGGAAACCATCATTCTTAGAAAGCTAACACAGGAACAGAAAACCAAACAGCACATGCTCTCATTCATAAGTGGTAGTTGAACAATGAGAACACATGGACACAAGGAGGGGAACATCATACACTGGGCCTTTTGGGTACTGGAGGACTCAGGAAGGATAGCATTAGGAGAAATACCTAATGTAGATGACGGGTTGATTGGTGCAGCAAACCATGATGGCACGTGTATACCTATGTAACAAACCTGCACACGTATCCCAGAACTTAAAGTATAATTAAAAAAAAAAAAAAGTAGAACTACACTTCTGCCTCTCTGCCATTGCTCATGCCATTTCCTCTCCTCTGTCCTTTACCAGTTAAGGCCTACCCATACTTCAAGACCTAGCTCAGAGCAATCACTTCTGTCAGACCTTTGAATTCAGAATGCATATTGTCTGTGCCATTTATTTGACAATCATATATCTCTAGTAACATCTTTCATATGGCTTGTTAACCTTTACATTGCATTTCTTTTTCTACATGTCACCTCCAGAACCTAGCGGGACTCACCTTGTATTTCTTTGCATTCTTCACAGATACTAGAAAACTACCTCTATGTAGCAGGAAATCAATAAATAGTTTTGATTGATTAGCTGAATTAGGATAAGAAAAAAAGTGAAGAAAAGAAAAAGAGCAAAAGACTAAGAAGTGAGAATGCACAGCTTCTTAGGAGTGAAAGAACATAATACAAATCCCCAAGAACCACGAGAACAAGTTGTACTTCACTAGACATTACCAAACAAGTGGGCCTCGTAGAACAAATAGGATATGTCCATATAGTCAGAGCATGTCTCAAACTATACTTAGTAAGCTTGTTCCCCAAAAAAGGAATAGTGTATTTTGTTTTAGTGGCTCAGACAATTGTGTCAACTTTATTTTCTCAAAGTCTAGACACCTGAAAGAATAAGAAACCCAACTTAAGAAGCTATGTTTTAGTAGTGGATGTGTATGGTGCCAAATCGTGTACAAAAATTGGTTTCAAGAAAGTTCATATTTTACAGACATTATTTTTTTAAACAATTGTGACAACTTATAGAATAATACTTGGACACATGAATTAATGACTTAAAATATTACTGAGTCTAAACTAAGCAATCCAAGAGATCATTTTTGTTAAACAGACTTTATTGTCTCTCCTCTAAAACCCAGAAATAATATGGCATCACGAAAAATATTACTGGCTCTATAAAAATAGGATATAAGCTATGCATATATTTTGCTGATGCTTCATCATTAAAAGCTCTCTAGGGCTATGTGACACTAAAAGCTATGTAGCACCATGTAGAGTTAACACTATGTAGCAAGATGTTTAAAAGCTTTAACTACATTTAAATACATACAATAATAATTAACAAAGCATGTTAAACAGAGGTAATTGATATTTTACCTAGACTCATGAATTAGTTTACACATCACTGATTTTACTCTCAGTTATTTGTAAGTCACTGCACTACATATCTGATAATGAGTTATGCCCCCCAAAATACAATATTCTAATTTACTTCATGAATTTAACACAGTTTTAGGGCACAAAATATTTTAAATTAAGAGAAAACTTAGTTCCTCAGTCTTTCATAACACAAATCAAGTCTCTATTACATCATTTATTTAAAAATAATGATTAAAAATGATAAAACAACATCCTTATATTGGTTCTATTTATGAAAGCTGAACTACTTTTAAATCTTTATATATATATATATATTAATACAACATTTACTTGAAAATTACTCATTAGTCATATCTTCCTTTCAAATCTTTTTCCACATAGATTCCTCAGAAGTATCCAAGCCAGTAGCTTCTTTGACATGTACAAAATAAATGGCATGTCAACAAGTAAATTAGCATTCCCTTTCTGACCAGCTGGGTCATGTTTCCTTTTCGAAATCCTCAGTCCCATGATACAAAATAATAATAATCTAAAAGACCTCATTAAATGATCAATATATTGACATAACCTCTATAAGGAGACACATAGTGTTTTAACTGATTCCTTGAATCCATTAAATGGAATATTAAAACTCAAGCCTCCAAAATACATTGTAAGAGAACATTTGCTTTATTTATTAACCAATTTTATTCAGATACTAGATAATGGTACATGAAAAGATTCAACAACTTTTATATTTAACCAAAGAGTAAAAGAAATCCAGCTTTCACCAAATCTTTCATACAAACTGTATCACAACAAAAGTTATAATAGACAAGTTAAACCATGTTTACTTACCAAAAAACTTCCAAAGGCTGAATTAAATATCGCAGCTGCCTAGAAAGAAAATAAATAGGGGGAAAAAACTCACTGAAAGTAAATAGGAATAATAAAGCCAAAGATTATCATTCTCCCTTCCCCCACTATTAAAAACCTTAAAACATTGACTCTTTAAAGCAAAGTTAGTCACTGCTTACAAAAATTGCCAGTGGCCTGTAGTTTACTAAGACAGATGAGCTACAGCTTAGGAATTCATAAATAATGAGTCTCAAAAGCAGGCAGAAAACACTTGTCATGTCTTGAACCTATATGGCAGTACCAAAAGAATCATTGCCAGTACTAAATTGAAACCATGTTGCTATTGATTTTCCTACTAAATTTAAAACAATCAGAGGTTGATTTATTCATTAAAAAATGTATATTACTGGGAGAAGGAAAAACAGAATTGTAAGACAAACATTAATTGTTCCCTGTCAGTGAACACAAGTCTTATGAACTACAATCACAAGGTAAGATCTCCTGTTCCCATACAACACGCATTGCAAATACAAACAATGCTGTTAAGACCAGGAAACTTATTGCTATACCATTAATTATAAGGTAAAGAAAAGCAAGAAAAGCTCCAATTTTGTGTTCAAAATTTAGAGAAGAAATATTTGACTTTCTGCTTACCTAAATATCCGAGGAATACATAGTAGATGTAATATTACTCTTAATTTTAATTTAATCACTATATTCAATGAAGCTACACCAGAGTCCTCCAAGCTTCTCACATTACCCAAAAAGGAGAAAAACTTGTATAACATCCAATTTGATAAAAAGAAAATATGAAAGAAAAAATAATAAAGGGTAGAGGAAACCTATTTACATCTCCTGCATATCCAGAGCAGAATTAAATTAATCATCATGGATACCAGCAGCCACACTGTAGTAAAAAAAGGATGTCAGTTTAGTAAGTTTGAATAAAGTCCAAACCCAGGCTAAGAGCTGTAGCTGAAAATGCCTTCTGCTCCAGAAGAGGATGCAATGAGAGTGAATGGGTAATGAGATCCTCGGCTCCAGAGAGCTTAGCTCTCCTATTCCAGTTCATAATTAATTCAAAGCTTTGATAATTTCATTAGATCTCTCCTTTGCTGGCCCTATCAATAAAAGATGGCACTGGACCACAGCTCCTCTGTGGCATAAACATAGGCACAGGCGCAGACCAGGGAAACCTTTGCTTCCTGACAGGGACAATGGCATATGGTGTTCTGTGTTGTACAGGGAGCAGTGAAAAAAAAAGAAATCAGCTAAATAAAACATTACAGATGAAAATTGTAAACTATAGCAACATATTTAACACATCTTCCTGGAATTCTATTGTGGATGATTCCAGGAAAAAGTTTTATGTATGGGGAAAAATAAGTAAAAGGGTATAAATAAATGAGTTGTGGTAACACCAACAGGGAACACTGGCCCTCCTTCCTACAAAAAAATGTACCTTTCCCACCAACAATTTTTATATCTAGACCCTATTTTGTGCTTAAAACAGAATTACTTCTTTTTAGTAAAGAAATGGGCTCTTCCCTTTTGAGCCTCTCTTTTCTAAATTCATTTCTTTCTAATGCCTTTCACTAACCTTATACTCAATAAAAGTTTTGCCAAGCATTTGAGGAAACATAGAATCATTGGAGGAAAAAAGACTCAGAGGTCAAAGTAAAGTTAAGTACCAACTACTACTCATAAGATCAAATCACTATACTCCTACTCCCTCTTTTTCTCTTCTTTACCCCAAATGCAAGAAATATATTTTCTGTAAATTGGTCTGTGCTCCTGCCTCTTATAAAATGACAGTGATGGGGCATCTTAGGTATCCAAAGATGCTGCAGGCCAACTCATTTTTAGTTGTTTTCTGACAGTAATGATGGATTTGAACTCACTCAGTCAACTATACTGTCCTCCTATGCAATGAGCTCCATTAATCTTTTGTGAAATAATTAAGGTTCTGGGTATTCTGAAGACCATGTGAAATCAGACACTGAAACCAAGGATCTTGGGTTCAATAGCAACTGATAATTAAGGTAATAATTGACTCAATTTTGTGGTTGCAGTCTATGAAAGAACCATGATTTCCAGTTTTAACAAGTAATAATAAATATTTAGAGTATTTTATTGATATATAAAAGACATGCATGTATTTTGACTTAGGAAGGAATTCTTAGCTCCTTAGCATGGCATCCAACACCCTCCCTGAACAGGTTCTATACAACTCATTCCCTACCTCGAATTTTACATCCTACAACAAGGAACTACTTGCAATTCTCCAAACTCATCATGCCATTTCTTATTGCCTTGCTCTCTGGCCTGAAATACCCTTCCCCATCTTCTACCTGAGTAATTCCCTTTTATTTTAGTAACACAGCTTGGTCATCATCCCTCTAAGATGGGAGAGTTCCCTTGATCCCTTCATGGGACTCGTGAAGGGGGTGGGTCATTTACTAGGCCTCCAGGCTCAATCCCTTAAGGGAGCAAGGACACAAGCAAACGAGTGTGGGAACTGGCACAAAGGAACACTGGAACTGGCTGGTCACTCCTCTCTGGCAGGAGCAGGGTCTGTGCGGCCCTGCAGCAGTGTCCAAATGTGTTACAATGGTCTTTTAGCTCTGCCATCCAGGAGGGGTGTTTGTGATCCCCGGAGCCCCAGAGGACTTGTGTCCTTTTACCCTCCCAGAGGAGTATAAAAGGTGACGGCCTTTTACACTCTGCCTTCTTGGTACCCCAGTTCTTGTCAGGCATCCAGGAAAAATCAGGTCACACAAACAAATCAAAGGGTAGTTAATGTGAAGGACTTTATTGAGTGGTGGAAGTGGCTCTCAGAGGGAAAGAGAGCTGGAAAGGGGGTGGAGTGGGATGATAATCTTCCCCTGAAGTCTGGCCATCCTAGCCAAACTCCTCTCCATAGTTTCTGACATCCAGCTGCTTCTTCTCTGGATGTTCAGGTGCGACTCTCTTCATTCTCTCTCCGTGTGTGTGTGTGTGTGTGTGTGTGTGTGTGTGAGTGTGTACGTGCCTGCCCTGAGTCTGGGGTTTGCAGTTCTCATGGACACATGATGGGGGTAGGGCAGGCCAAAAGGCAACATTCAGGTGGGAAAACAAGAATAGTTCTCACTTTGGTCCATGGGTCTAGGCTTGACTGTGGAGCCCTCGCCAAGAACCCCACTGTTTTCTACCCAGTATTTCTCTCCTTCTTGTCCCTATCACTTCCAGGAAGCTTTCAGTGACCTTCCCCCAATACACACACACCTTAGGATACACACATATCTACACTTTTTTAGTTAAGGTTGATCTAATTAACCACCAAATGTGATTACTCCAAGGTATACATTTTGCTGATGGGACTTTATGAGTTAATAATAAAAACATTACTGTGCAGGACATTCAGTTAGCACAAGAGGCATTCATTCATTCACTCACTTTTTTCAATGGATTAGACAAATTCTTGTATAGATGCTCCATTACAACATGGAGCTGATGAACTGAGTATCCCCACACCTGCTGGCAGAACATCCCAAACCTATCTCTGCCATGGCACTTGTCCCAGTGTATTGAAATGACTGGCTGGGCATGTTGACTCACACCTGCCCAGTACTTTGGGAAGCCAAGGTGAGTGGATCAGTTGAGGTCAGGAGTTCAAGACCAGCCTGGCCAACATGGCGAAACCCTGTCTCTACAAAAAAAAAACAAAACAAAACAAAAAAAAAACACAAAAATTAGCCAGCCATGGTGGCAGATGCCTGTACTCCCAGTGACTTGGCAGGCTGAAGCAGGACAGTTGCTTGAACTCAGGAGGTGGAGGTTGCAATGAGTCAAGATTGACCACTGCACTCCAGACTGGGTGACAAAGCAAGACCCTGTCTTAAAAAAAAAGAAAGAAAGAAAGAAAGAAAGAAAGAAAGAAAGAAAGAAAGAAAGAAAAGAAATGATCTACTTACATGCATCTCTCTCAAGGTCATCTAAGGAAGGAATCTAATGGAACTCATACTAAGCACTCACTTGTTTGTTACTCCTACTTCCACCCTGACTCTGAAGTGGCCAGAAGTAGAAAAGGTGAGAAGGTTAATCTATCTATCTATCTATCTATCTATCTATCTATCTATCTATCCATCCATCCATCCACTCACCCACCTACCCATCTATAGTGAAACAAATCATGCCCTTGTGTCCACTGGTCCTCTTTTAAAATTTTTATCATGTGTATATATTCATTAATTAAAAAGTATGAATTGCAGAAACAAGTACAACTCCTTGAAACGTCCAAAGTCTTCATCTTTTACTGAGTTATTTCATGTGTTTGGCAGAATCCAAGGCACGGAAGACTAGATCTGACATCTGGTACCATAACCAACCAATGACAATAACAGGAGATCTAGACTTCAGACTCCCATCCATCCCATCCAATACAAGAACTTCTTACATGTTTTCAAAACAATCTCATTTCCCTTCTCTTAAAACCTCTGAACATTCCTATTATGATATAGCTGTATAAAATATGTTTAATACAAATAACGTTTTCCAAGATCAGATGAGATTGGGCAAGTTCAGAGTAGCATAACTGTAGACCATAAATGACCAAAAATTAGCCACCATGCCTAGCTAGATTTTTTCAATGTTTCGAAGAAACAGAGTTTTCCTATGTTGCCCAGGCTAGTCTTGAATTCCTAGACTCAAGGGATCCTCCTATCTCAGCCTTCTAAAGTGCTGAGATTACAGGTGTGAGTTGCCACACCCAGATTGATTTAAAAATACAGCAGTTCTTTTGTTATTATCTCCTTGGTTAGAAAATTTTCAAAACCCATTCGTCCTCTAGCATGCTCCATTGCAACAAGAATTTGTCTAATCTATCGAAAAAAATGAGTGAATGAACGAATACCTCTTATAACTGAAATGTCCTGCACAGTAATGTTTTTATTACTGATTAATAAAATCCCAACAGCAAAATGTATACCTTGGAGTAATCACATTTGGTGGATAATTAGATCAACCTTAACTAAAAACAAAAAAAAAAAGTTCATATTGAG